TTTCTTGGATCCGTAGAAAATTTACATACGTAAGAAAGAATTACATATAAATACAAATGTATATACAAAATCCCAAACAAGCTACTTCATAAGTTGTATAATTTTTTAAAAAAATCTCTGCTTCACTTTATAACAACTTCAAATTGCATTTATAATCTAAGAAAACCCGCGCTTTCTAAGCGCGGGTCAAAATCTAGTTTGTTATTATTTACATGAAATTAACGTGATACATAATAGTAACCTATTATAGAAATGTATTTTTCCTTTTTAAAATAGTACTAGCACTAGCTTTTGTCTGAAAAATCAGTGAATGATAATTTTGTGGATATTGGGTAGTTCAGTTTTCACCCGTGGTTTAAAAATTGCTAATGAATACGGCTACTGGTGTGTTTTCTAATAAAAGTCATGCTATTGTACTTTATGATACAAACTACATTATATAATATTAATTTTTCTTAAACACAAATGATAAAATATACCACTTATTTTTGAAATATCAACATAATACTCTTGGAAATGTCGTTTCTGAATTTCGTTATCTATCGAATAAGCCATGTGTGTTTTTTTTTTTTTTTTTGGGTCTAATCGAATAAGCTATGTTGTTATGTGTATTTCTACAATTCTTTGAAGGTAAGAGAAGATGCACCTAATGCCAACTACATGAGCATGTTGTGGCTAATACCGAAGCTCATGAGTGGTGTATGGGAGTTTATAAGGAGTTTCATAATAAGGTTTTGGAAAGGCAACGAGTACAAAGAGAATTGGACGATGAGAACTGTTAGAATTGTTGGGATACTAATCCCTGGTGTATCTGATCATTTCCCACTTGATTATGTCAATTCCACGCGCTTGGGAGGCTTGGCTCGACCTGTTGCGACTACTACCCCTCAGGATAAACTTTCTCTCATTGCTTGAAATAACATGATGACTCGTACCACTCAACTCAAGGAGAAAAAAGGCCATGGCGTGTTGGAGAAACCCAATTTCAGATGTATCGAATAAGTTTTCAACTAAATAAAGGATGATTTCATTTACTTGTTTTTATTTTCCCTTACTTCCTTAATAAGAGAAGGAATACTCTTCAGTTGTTATTCCACTTAAGTTGATGTTTTCCTTGTAAGAATCGAATGATTCTAATTTCTTTTCGTAAGGACAAAAACAAAGCAAACAATTTCTTACCGTTTATTTTCGTTTGTCATTTTGGTCCCTATCACTTGATTTCCGAAAAAGGAGACTTATGACCTATGTTACATGGAAACGGAAACGGATACGCGGAAGCGGAATCGTATGGAAGCGCGGAATCGAGATTTTGAATAAAAATAGGAAGCGGATACGTGTTGGAAGCGTATATCCAAATATACATATATATATATATATATATATATATATATATAAATTTTTTTTTATAAAATTTAGGACTAAGAATTATATGATTTTAATTTAAAATAAAACATTTATTCATTATCATAATTTTAAATGATTGCATATTATAATTAGGAAAATGTGGATAAATTAAGTTTATAAACAAATATTACCAATTAGTTAATTTTTAAATTTTATAAATAATTGGTACACCATATTTGAATATATATATATATATATATATATATAATAAAAACAGTGCATACATATGATTTATAGTATTAATATTAGTATTTACATATATATATTCTCACTCTATATACTATAAAAACATAAAAAATAATTTTATATTTTATTTATTTATATATGATACTGTGTTTTTAAAACTGGAAGCGTGATTCCAAAGGGGAATCGTAAGCTTCCAACGTGTTTTTATATAGGATATTTTAGAAACGTTTTGGAATCGAGATTCCGCAAGCTTCCACAAGGTTCCGATTCCGATTCCGGTTCCGAAGCGGGAAGCGCACGCCGGATGAAGCTTCCATGCAACGCAGCTTATGACTATGTCTACTTTTGTAAGTTTATGCCTATCTGCTCACATCTGATACACACATGTATGGAGATTTAATAGCTTCTACTCTATTAAAATAGAGTCATTCTTTTTATCTACTGATACAAGTTGTCATTTAAATTTGGACTCTTTCTAGAATGTTACAAATAATATAAGTCATATAATTAATTGAACCGTATTACTTAAATTAAACCAACAAAATTAATGTAAAAAGACGATCTTAATGTAAACTACCTTCAAAATACGGCAGATATCTATGTGTATACCAAAAACACATATTTTCTCCTACAAATATGGAATGTTCTATAAGAATATATATCATCAAAATATGGAATATGGAAATCTACTAATTATACTTAAATTAAATCAGTGGTTATTTATGGAATATAGTTTTGGACTTACTTTTATTTTTTGAACAAATTATATAGTTTGGTTTTTGCGCTTAGTATTAAGAAAAAACTCCAAAAACATTGAATAAACTTTTCACCTTAAAAGATAAAAAATCAATTATTATTTTCAGACCCAAAAGGTATTTAATATTTTTAACTAAACAAAATTATCCATTATTAATCATTTATTTAAATAATGTACTTTAAAACATGTTAATATATTTTTTTATTTTAAATAACAATCACTGTGTTTTGATAAATTTCAATGGTAACTTTTAAATAATTTATCGTTTTATTTTTCTTAAATAATTTACTGATTAAAAAAATGTAAAGCAAAACCAAAAACCAAATCTAAAAACTAAAATCCAAAACCAAAAGCTGAAAACACATATTATATTTTTTTGCTTTGTTTATTTACAAAATAAACTATTTCAGTTTTAATTTTTTTTTTTTCAACTTTTCAGTTTTAAATTAGATGTTCGATTATTTGAGATTTGTTGGTTGGTAATATTTGTTCAAACTAGCTCAGCGGGTTTAAAAATTAAAAACTCAAACCAAAAACTGAAAATGAAAAGTAGAAACTTAAATACTAAAAACCAAAATCCAAAATCTAAAAATAAAAACTGAAACTAAAAATTAATGAAAAACAATCATCACCACAAATTTTGGTGAACTGATTTTATATCAAAATATTATTTAAATTATGACAAAACCCAATTATATAAATTTTTAATCATAAAAAATTTCCGCGCTTTTAAGCGCGGGTCAAAATCTAGTTATCAATTATTGCCTCGGCTCTCCTTATTTAAGTTACACAAGTCACGTTTTGTGAGTCCATAATATGAAGAAACCTATTTTAGTCACAAAATTTATTTTGCCAATTTCGTCACAAAATATTTTAAGGTTAACCCACAAAACTATTTATTTGCCACTATTTAGTCAAAATATTTTTTGGTGGCTATAAAAAATAGCCACGATTTTGAAAAAAAAATTGTGACTATTTAAATCCCTATACCCTAAAAATATTTTTAAGCGCTAAACTCAAAACACAAACCTTCAAATTCTAATATCTTCATACTTACGTAAATCTTAAACTAGAACTCAATATTTAATGCTTTTAAAGTTTAATCTTAAATTTTAAAATAAATTCAAACATTATACTTCAAACATTAAACTGTAAACCTAAACTATATACATCATATCATAAACACTTCAAAATTTGTATCTTACCTTATCTTAAAAAAAATAATTTTCAATCTTCTTTAATTTTATAACTGTAACTTATAACGAATATCTAAACCCCAAAAACAACTTTAAAATTATAAATTCTAAACACAAACTTCAAGATTCTAATCATAAACCATTAAATCATACATGTATTCTTCAAATTATTTAATCTTAAAATTTATATTTAATAAATTTAAAACTTATTAAAAAAGATTTAAATTTAAATTCTAAACCCTATATTCCCCAAACGCCAAACCCTAAATCAGAAAATAACCAAAATCTAAATCATAAACATTACCCTTTAACTTTAAATTTAATTGTTAAACAAAATCACCATACTCTAAATCAGAAAATAGCGAAAAACTAAATCATAAACGAACTCTTTAATTTATATTTGAAATTTTAACTAAATCACCATACCTTATACTATAATTTTAACTAAATCACCATACCTTATACCATAAAATAATTTTTAAATATTTATACTTGAAACATAACATTAAATAAAAATTATAAATTTAGACCCCAAATCTACTACTTTCAAATTAAAATTTCCAATCTTAAATCTAATCTTGAATATTTCAAATATATATGAATTAAAATTTTTAAAAATATTTTTGACTTCCTTATAATATTAACGATAAAATAAACTAAACATACAAATGACTACTCCCTAGATACATATCTAATTAATTAATTAAGTAAAATAGGTTTTTTTCTGGAAACTTGAAATTACATTGAAAATTTAAATCTATTTCAATTTTAAACTGACTAAAAATTCAACTGTAATTCCTTTTTTATTTTTTTAGAATATCTAATATCTTTTTACATCCTATATGAGAAAATGTTCTATTTTGATAAAGTGTTTTTGATAATCAGTCCTAAATTTTATTGGTTGAGATAACAGGGTGATGATTGAAATTATAAACCATTGCTTAAATCTATTAATTGGTCCAGATTCATTCTTTTTGTGTTTCTTTTTTTTGTGGTCGATTTAAACAGACTCAACTAAGACTGTGCAAATCAAGCTGGCAACTCTCCATCCCTATAAAAGACATAAGACGATTGCTTCCTGGCACTACGTGCAAGAATATATGAATGATCTCTGAGTGGTTGAAACTTCCCCTTACGTGCTGAAACCATCTTCACCAATTGAGAACAATTCATTGCAAATGTGACGTGAAACTGACATAGATTCCTCATACATTACATATCCCATATGAGTGCTTATATTTCCGAGTGTAATGGTGAGAGGCTGCCTCTCATATTCCTTCCCCCCATCAAACCATCAAAGTCGTCTAGCGTGCTATACCAGCCTTGTCCTGAATAAGTTTCATGCACTTTCCATGATCCATCCATAAAACGCCATCGACCACGGATGGAAGGTAAACATGTCACTTCCAACTCACTAGATTGGGTGATCCTCTGAGGGAGTGATGCCTACGCTCCTGCCCAGATTAATGATTCTATTTCTGCAAGCTTGAAGGTATCTCTAGGGTCAATATCTATGTTACTAAAAACTATATTATTTCGCCCTTTCAAAATGTACATAGAATCCAAGTAAACTGATGATCATCCATGGGTGGAGACACCCTCCAATTTAGATGATCCGTATTCATAAAAAGCGATGAAGAAGGAAAAATATTGGGATGTGATGGAATCTTCGGGAGAGCCTAAACTTGTACCGTGGGTGGGAATTCGAACATAACATGGTTAACTGATTCCTCGCTTGCTCCACATCTTGCACACTAAATTTTTCCTTGTAGCCCTCTTTTTGAGATTTTTCTTTACCGGTATACAACCTGATATTATTTTCTATAAGAAATGTTTTATATTCGTGGACATCAGATTTTACAGGAATAAGCCTTTGAAGGGGTGACAGTGGGTCCATATATTGGTATCGTTTATTTTCTGTCTGGATATACTCCTTCCACGTGATAACCTGGCTTCAGAGTGTATTTTTTCATCATTTGTGAAATGCCTTCCATCTTGATCAACCATCTGAGTCCTGCTTAAAAGAATACTCCCAATAATGTTTGCATCATGTGGGTCCACCATATCCTGAATGACATGTAAGTTTCATGTACGTGATATTGGTAATGAGTGAATACACTATAAGATAAGGGTTAGGAATAAATGGATTACTATTTACTGGTCTCGGGTGAGTGGCTAAGAACCAAAGGTCATCCCATACTGAAATAGATGAATCTATTCTCACACTTTTGATTAGTTATTTGCTAACCAGAGATCTAGCATAGAAAATACTGCACTATCCATATGACGGGGAGTATGATCTGATCGGTTTTAGGGGTGATGCATTCCTGAGATACTTTCCTTTGAAGACACGAGAGAATAATTAAGTTGGTTTCTCAATTAAGCATCAGAATTGTTTTCTAAACATTGTTGTATTAAATTCCCTAAGATCTTTAAACCCCAACTCTCCTTCATCCTTATGATAACATAGTTTGTCCCATGATTTCCAATGCATTTCTCTTGAATTTTCTCCTGAACCCCACCAAAATTGTGCCACTGCACTCGTCAAATTTTTTATTACCTCTTTAGGTAACTGAAACAAGACATTACATGGTTTGGTGAAGCCGTAACCACTGACTTAATGATTACTTCC